ATAATGTGATTAACTGTACGCGTGTATAGGTACTTTATTATTCAATTACATTTTTATGCAGAAACAAGCACGTTTAAAATTTGCCGTTTTGTACCTATTATTCTAATATTGCATCGGTTTGAGTGTTGTATATAATATAATATTCTTAGAACGATGCTTTTACAATTTATTCGTTCGGAAATCCATTGAATAATTAATCATTGTTTATGGTTCATCAGAAGTTTTCTCATTTGTTACTAAGCTTAATTAACATCTGGTGCGTTTCATTAACTTTAATACACCCCATCTGCGCAGTTAATAAATACGCATTAATTATTATATAATATAATATAGTATATATATATATGTACATAAATTATTCAATTTGACTTTGATTTCTCGACGACAGGGTGATGATAACAATGACGACAATAATACACACACTATACAGCTCAGCCGGAAGTATCAAATAACAACGCTCAATGTAATAATAATATGATATTATAACCTTCGCCTAAATGCATTTCGAGTTAATCTGTTGGATGCACGCTGTTGCCGCGTAACCAATATACCGTTAAATAGAGTAAGGTACTAAGGTATAATGTACTGCAGCAGCACCAGCAGTGTTGATCAACGATTATAATATTATTTACAGTCGGCGTACTCTACTTGTAAACACACAGGAGCATATTATATGTATACGTAGCAGTTAGGCTGTTGTAGGTACTCGGGTGTACATTAATTTTCAGTGATGGCATTTGAGGTAAAAGATAAAACTGTTTGCTTTTCCGGTCGAGCGACCACGTGAACGGTTTCTCGTTATTCCGGGTTAACGTAACAATATTATTATTATACCTACGCACATACATACAATATGTATGTATAAAGTACATAATATACTCGGCGCGGTCGGGGCATGAATAAATCAAAGTCATTATAACTTTATGGTTTAATTTTTAAACACGCAAACGATATAATAATATACTTTAGGGAGAACTCGGATTAGCTGGTACCTATACGCGTGGTTATACCTTCGAATTTTTAGTGTAACACACACCGTGTATTGAGAACGAGCAATATATTATACCACTCGTTTGGTATAGTGATAGTACAGAAGGAAAACTATAAGCTATAGTATTTAATATTCAAAAACTAAACAATATTTCAGTGATTATTACATCGGTTTTTCGAAATGGCACCTCACAAAATAAAATTACAAAATATGATCAGAAAAAGTTTAAACAACTAATAAATATTTTTTGTATCTGCCTTGAGGTGTAAAATAAATACTAAATAATTAATGATATTCAGATACGTCATACGTCTTATAGAAACCAAAAATTTTCTTTTCCTCAATTTTTATAACATGAATTCACACTAGAAGTAGCTACAACTGAAAATATTTCATCACAACCTTATTTTAACAGAAAAATATTGCAAGGAGAAAACATATATTATTGTAAGAACTATATTCTGTCCGAACAGTATTTTTTTTTTTTTTTTTTTATTTATTTGAAGAAATCTACAATCTATACATGCTTTTTGTACAATAAGTAGGTTTGATATAAGAAAGGTAAAAATATGATATGATTAGTTAGATAAGGGAAGGTACCCAGTGGTAACACCCTATGACATGAATAACAATGAAGAGAGAGAGAAGAGAGAGAAAAAAAAATATATATATATAGTTATATAATATAAGACAGTAAATAAGTAATTAATTTGAGGTTTGGAGGTGTTACCTGGTAGCGACCTCCAGCACTTATTAAGCTCACTTTTCAAAGAAGATCTCTACACCATTGCCTTTTTAGTCTACGGCGCGGGTTACCAGGGAGTGAGTTGGTAACAGTATTTAATCAGAAAATAATACATCAAATTCGTGTTGCATCCGAATAATAATATTTACTAAAAGTAAACCAACAACAAATATTAATTCATCCGAAACGTATTTTCTAACTGAGGTTTAAGTATATAAGTATAAGTAATTTTTATATCACAACTTTATTAAATTTGTCAAATGTGAAACATTTTAATATTGTAAATTATACGTATAACATGTTCAGTGGGGCCCATTATCTTCTTGAAGAATAAATAAAAAAAAAATAAAAATATATAAACCTTAAATATCGATACATGTCGGTACAGATTATGTTTATTCGATATTAGGTACTTATCCATTAATATTCCTATTGTATTATAGATACGATAATACATATAAATATGGACAGCTTATCGATAGAGTCGAAGTACTGATGGTCATAATATTAGTATTTCACACCGTGCCGGTAACATCGAATTTTCTAGTCAGTAGAGAACCTACAATCGACTAGGTACTATTAAAATGATATTAAAAATCGACAATTTAATAAACTTATTAATTATTTACTAATATATACTTTCTCGAAAACTATACCGAATACCTATTATGAAACAAATAACTCGTTTCGAGATTACATGCGTGATGACGTCGCCGTGAATGAAGCAGCGTAACAGTGTAAGCAGTGTAAACAGTTTTCTCCTCGCGGCGGTGGTCGAAGTAAACAATATAATGTACAATGTTATATTATAGCGAAGGAGTAGATGGGGTTATCCCCGGCGATATCCTCACAGACTCCTTAATTGGTCCACGGTTTTGGACCTGACGTAAAGGTAAAACCTTAACGGATTTTGCGCTAAATATAACCACCACCGACGATCTCGTATACCTATACACTGATTAGACGGTCGAATATTCTGACACGCGGACAGACTTCGCACGTTGTTTGTAAAAGTTTATACATCAGTCCACGAAGCTCTAAAGGAGACTATCTCCCGATTTCCCGTCTGTCACTGCTGTCTTTCCTCTCTCTCTTTCTCACTCTGTCTCTCTATTTCTCTCTTTCTCTCTGTCTCTCTGTCTCTCTGTCTCTCTCTCTCTCTCTCTCTCTCTCTCTCTCTCTCTCTCTCTCTCTCTCTCTCTCTCCCCTTCTCTCTTTCACTCTTACTCACTCTGCACATCTATCTGTCCCCCTCACCGCTCCATCAACGCGCATGCATATGCATGGTATATATTATAATATGTATATGTATATAAATGTAAATATGTACGTTTATACCTAAGCCATCGGCGGAAACAGCCACGGCGACGTGGTGGTTATACGGAAGGACCCGTATATAATATGCCGCCGCACAGCTGTTGCTCCTCACGACGATTAAACGCGTTTAGGGCCCCGGGATTGCGCATAATCCGTAACCGTCGTTCAATTAAGGATTACCACGATTTGTGTGTATATACTGTATACATGTTATATGCACCGTAGTTGTCGATGTTAAATTACTTCATTAGATAATGATATACGGTGGTCGGTGGTAGCTGCTATTATATAAATAATAATAATAGTGTATAATATATACACTGCTATAGCTGCTGTATTTTCGTTTCTGGCACGAACTTTCCGACGACGAATAACATAAATATATAACATGGTTTATTATTATCATCGCTCGGTTCTCCACGTGTATACCACGCGTGGGTATATAATTATTATTATAGTACATAATACATTACCTACCCCATGCCTCATTTCCGATATCGATTGGATTGTGTGTTTTATTTTAATTTTCGCGAGGAAAGATAGTCATTATGTAATAATGATTAAAATAATAGTCACTTATATTAATTGGTTATCGTGTATGCCGAGTGTCTAATAATAATAATAATAAAATAAACGTTCAAGACAGTGTTTTAGTTTTCATAATAAGCGTCGGAGTGATATCGTCATAATATTATATTGTTATCAGAGTTTCCTTCCAATTTTTATGCTGTAGGTGGATTTTAACATTTAATCAAAACGCGTGTCCATATTTTTAAAATGCTCCCGCGTTTGCGACTTGCAAATCTATACAAATTTGTTAAAATATATAATATTATTCTATTATTAATGTTTAAACGTTTTTCTCTAAGGAATGGTGCATTACCATCAATCATCAATCATCATTCATCACCGTAATCACAAAAAAAACATTCGATTCCTTGGTTTTAAATATTTTATTTCTTACTGTTTGTTTGGGCAATATTATTATTATATTATAGTGAAATTAATTGTGTACAGCCAACCCAAAATCACGTGGTACCTCGTAACACTGATATTTTATTTGAGTTCATACCGAAAATATAATATATAATTAAAGTAAAGTAAAATATTATGCGCTCCTCGTGCAAGTAAACTTTTTAAAGAAAGACCCATTGAAATATGTTTCTATACAAAGTCGTTATCATTATACATGCTCGTAAGTTATGACTGGCATTAAACATGTATCTTAATATCATATGAGTAAAAATTAATATCGATGCATATTCGAATCAAATTCATTATACTATAAATTATAATACGCGTACACTTGAGGTTCAATATTTTTAATTTTCAATAACAATTAACAGCTCCAGGATTTCATTAATTTCTAATTTACTGTATTAATTTAAATGATTTAACGGTGAAAATATAATATATTATTATAGGTACTTACTGGCATAATATGTATATGTATATGTAAATAGTATTTTATATTTCAGCGAGAAGTTTGGTAAGTACTGCCCCTAAAATATCAGGTTTCATACCCTCGGGTATTTTGGAAAAAACAAAATTCACATCGAGAAATAAAAGAAGCGAAGATTTCCCCCTGCGAATTCGGGAATTAATCTTAAAGGAGTTACAAAATCTAATTGAATTGACATAATATTTGTTTCGTCTAGTAAATTTTTTCTTATGGTTTGATTTAAATTTACCAAAATATTCGTATCTTCTGTATTCTTTGTACTCCCGGTCCGAATTAAATGTATTTGTTAAAACTGAATTTGACGACTCAGCTGACAAAGCTATATAGTCTTCGGTTGATCCGTTACTTCTCGTATACATTTACTGCGTACTACTCTTAACTCACAACAGACTTGACAAAGTATAGTTTAGTAATAACAAATTACACTTTGTTTATCTTATTGGAGGTGAAATCCGTCATTTTAACTGCTTGGCTCCTCTTGAAAATTATTTTCTCATTGGACTGCACTCCGTGAATAAGCGCTGCTGGCTTGTGTTGTCCTTTGAACTTTTTTTTTCTGGATTGCTCGTGGAAACCAAATTGTTACTAAAAATGGCTTGAGTCTCTTGATTCTGTTGAACGTGGTTCGTCAGCTGGTCTCGAATTTCTTTTATGTTGAAAAATCTATTTTTTTTCCATTCGATATCCGACGCCTCTTTTGGGTCCATCTGACAATTTTCTAAATAATGCTAGGTGCTCTACCCATATTTATATGAGTTCTAACAATGACGTATGGTGGCGTAATGTCCTATATTCTAATATCACTGCCAGTTACGGTCGAATTTCGTTATTATGCCAATAAGTAAAAACAACTCGTTTTTTTTCACCTTTGATCTAGACTCCCTGTTATTTAGGCTTTACACGTACACAATGTATTGACTATTCATACCTACATTACATATATCATAAATTATACTAAATGTATAATATTTATTAATCTATAGTCTATTGAAATTCACAAAATAACTATACTGGGTTCTGGGTTTACTACAAACGTCAAACTCCCAAGAAAAGCGAATTTAAATAACATAATATTATCCAAAGAGTCTTTGGCCTACATGGCTACAGCCTACATGTGTAATGTACATTATCGAATATATACCTACGACCTACCTTCATTATACATAATATATATGAATATTACATGACTAAGTTTAAAATAATAATACATTAAGTCTAAACTATACAGGGGCGTCATTTGCGGTACGCAGGGTATACATTTGCGTACCTAAAATTCTAAATTGTGATATGCTTGATTTATTTCTATTTTCTAACATGATGACGAGGAGGTATCCTCTTGTATGAATTAATATTAAAAAATAAAAATAAACATGTACTTTTAATTCATTATAATCACCTATACTTTAATTTATTTTGCTGATTCATTCTGTGCATATCTGTTATATTGCTTTATATTGTTTATTGTATTTATTTAATTTGACTGTTGAAATTTCAATTTAGGAACTTGGGAATTTGGGTATTAAATTTAGACATTTATAGCTTTTGCGCTGCTTACGGCTCGCATTATGTCATTTTACTTTCTTTTAATTGTGTTAATAATTATTATTATACTAGCTGATCCCGTGCACTTCGTTACCCGTTAAATGTATCGACTCTATATGACTCAAACTTTGTTCAATTCGTTATTTAATATTCAGTGTATGGTGTTCAAAATTTATCTTAACTTTTCCGTTGCCCGGAATAAAAATTTTGATTCGCAGCAGTACCTATATTATCAGGTAGGAAATCTACCTGTGGTAGATCGCGGACCCCGTGATGTTTGTACGTAACTTTATAATTTAACACTAAAGTATGAAGGTTATACCAAGTATGTTTCTGAACTTTTCCTAAACGGTTGGACTAATTGTGAATGTTGAGTCTGTCAACCAATATTTCCTCCTCGTCCACGAATACGTGGCATTGTGATTGTTTTATGTACCATATTACATAACTTATATGTGAGTATAATACGCTCAATATTTACGTAATTGTGATACATAACACAGCGTACAAAAAAACTAAATGCATTTAATGAATACACATATTTGATATTTCACGGCCACCAATAATAGTTTATAATAGTTTTAAAACCCATGGCAACCATTTATAAACAACCGTAAATCTCTAAATCCCCGTTTGAGCACATTCAATGGTTGGACCTAGAGTGATGATTTGTAGCCCATGTGTTATTCTGATGTATAAGCTATATTATTGTAAAGTTTCATTAAAATCCATTCAGTAGTTTGTACGTGAAAGAGTAACAAAGTCACAGACTTTCGCATTTATAATATTAATAGGATAGGATATATGGTTGCCATGGTAATATGGAGACACACACACACACATACATTCATTTTTATATATATAGACTACTATAATATTAATAACGTCAAATATGTCGAAATAAAAATAGTGGCCTGCTCAATATTTATGCGTACTAAGAAAAAAAAAAATTGAAATGACGCCCCTGAAACTATATAACTCTTTGGTGTTATTCGGTTTTCACTGTAAAACTTTCACGACTTAAACTGTTATGCTATTCTGCGCCGATTAAACCCGATCTGCATTGTGTAGTGTACTAGTATTCCTGCTCTAAAACCGAAATCTGAAAAATATACAGCTCGTAATAAATGTTTGCAGCTCGTAAAAGTTGCAAAATGAATTGTTGAACAATAACTTAAACAGCGCTTGTTCATGTGAACCTTCCGATCTGCTGTGTATAATTATATTTTGTTTGAACATAAACCGTTCGCATGTAACGTACAAATTTAAATTTAATTTATTATCAATGAAAAAAAAAATAACAATAATAATAACGCTATTACGTTTTACATTGCTAAACACCACGAAAGTCAGTAAGACTGTGAGTCGCCATTAGTATAAAGTTATACATTAATAACGAAACGTCATGTATAAACACAGAATACTATTATAGTTATAAATATGTAGGTAGGTACCTAGAAAAACGTGTACCTAATAAACTAAGAAGTTTGGTACGAATATGAAATAATGGCTAACGATACTGATATGACTATGGTCGACAAAAAACAAAAGTAATATTGATTCATATTATACACTACATATTTGTACTACTTTTTTCATTGATTCATATTATATCATAATTCTACATCATGATAACAATAACTGCACACTAAATCGTGCTGATTACAGGTACCTACTGCTTAACATTTTTAATCAATAAACAGCTTCAGGATTTTATTGTTTTCAGACGGCAACAAAAACAACGACATTTTTGAGTTCATGGATGTTTTTAATTTAAAAAAAACTGTTTAGTTAGAAACTTTTATTCGATTTTAAAATAGTTTCACGTGTTTTGGATGTGTTTACGCCATTGTTCATATTAAGTAATACTAAATTCGCTGAATTGTATTATCATATTAATATTATATTATATGCAAAGTTTGACATTTTGTTTTTTTTATTTTAGTTTAATTTCATATTTTTTTTGTATTACATTTGTGTGGTTATATAACACCAGACTTAAAATATTATTATAATCTAATTCAAGCACACGTTACTTGCATTATCAACTGATAAAAAAAAAAAATACCACAACTTGATAAAATGATATTAAACGCACGTCAAAACATTTTTTGCCACCTGTTTTAGGAATTAAAACCGCAGTGGTGTGCCTGATTACACAGCACTAAACTATAGAATTCGTAGTGATTGCCTGAAACTGTTAGTCGTATTTCTTTCGAAAATTCGCACGCATTTCATTAATGTTGTATGTGTGAGTTGACACTTTACTCGGCTGCAGAATACGAAGTCAGCACGATTATCAAAACGTCCCAGGTAAATTTATTAGCCGATATTGTGTTACAAATTGCTGTTGCTATTCTATATATTATTACGTATACTTATATATACATAATAATATATGCACTGCACAAACTCCAATTAGTGTACTCTGTTAATTATTATACACACACATTCACACACACAAAGTGCATTACTCATAGGCAAGTTTACTAACTACGATAGTACACTACTACTACTACTACTAATATATTACTAACACTACTACTTTCACTTCTACTTCTACTTCTCTACTACTACTAACAGCTACTCGATGAGGTGATGACGGGGGTGCGGATAATAGGTGTATGACGACAGGTCACATTACACCCGTGCCTCAGACAAAGGGTTGTATTCTGTTTCTGTCATGACGTGTCATCATAATATCTTATGCTTTCTGTTATCGTGGGTACTGTAGCCGGTTTACGTACCTCGTTACCGGCAACATAATCTACTACACTGGTAAAATCTGAAACTCGTGAGAGGTGCAAACTTTAATAATATCTCGTCCACACGAGTTTATCCAATAGAAAAGATACCGATAATATTATATATTTTGCAGAAATAATAGTCATTTGGGAGGCTTAGATACCTTTGATATTATACTCTGTCTGTTGTAGATACTACATAACTTACGCTTGAGAAAATATCAAAATATTTATATTTATAATAATATTAATATAGTAAGTCGTAATAGACATCAACTGCTGTAGGTCTAATATAGTAATATATTCTAATATTGTATAGTAAATATCATTTACTTTTATCAAACTACATCACAATGTGCTTAAGAAAAAACGAATTATAAGCCCGAAAAAAATTAATAATCAGCAAATTTTACAAAAAGAATATAGAATATGATTTAATTTTGTAGCATATAATACCCAACGGACTATTGGTTTGCAGTTTGAAGACAATAATTATATAATTTTATAACGTTTAATGAACCTTTTTCGATTGTATTGTTTTTGGTCGTCGTGTACGCTATACACACAATCGTTTTACCGGATTTCGAGTTATTCAATAATAACGTTATACTGTAATAATAATATGTTTGTGTTTACCTAAACTCTCGAAAATCGGGTAATTTATGCACAACCTGCAACGGAGACCACGCCATAAGGACTACTACATATTATTTCACTTGCACTTTCCAGCCACCAAATCAGGCGGTCTGCAAAGGGGTGTTCAATATTATAATATAATCGGGTCTTGGACTACCGCGTGTAGAGAGTGGGAATAATTTTAAACAGAAAAGGGCCATTTCGCAGAGCATATCAGGGCGATCGCTGGACACCAATAATGTCTCTAAAATCCACTCGGATAGCCTTCAACCGGCTCTTTTTCCATTTCTTCAATAAAATAAATGTATATTTATATAGTCTCTGCCACCACCACAACTGCAGTTGAACGAGTAAAGGATCAATCGTCTAGTGACGCCATAAACAATTGGAATTTTCAAATACTAAATTACTACACAAGTTTTTGTGTGTGTGTTTGGACATTGGAGTTTTGACATAGGACTGCCCGAGATAATGATATTATATTCATTAATATTTTAAGGACCACCAAAACCGTGGCCGGACGCGATGATAAAGTAGGGTCTTTTACACTTACTTCGATCCTGATTGTTGATCCTGATTTTGCAAATTTAAAATATATACTATAATATTTATATACGACACCGCAGATCGATAGTTTAGTATATAGATACATAGTAAATGTTTAATATAATATTCCGATTGCAGTGGAAAGGAAAAGGTCAATGTCAACAATAGTCGTTCGTTATTGCTATTTTTCATGACTTTATACTATATGTATAGGTACTATCTGTATTTCCCCCAGGTTA